CAACACAGCAGAGAGGAAGCTGTTAAAGACAAAGACCAACACTGCATCCTGACCTCTAACCTTTACCTCCTGACCTTTATTGCATCTGGCATGAGGCCTTGTCTACATGAAAGCTGTCCTGTTGACTGGCCAGGGCTAATTTAGAGTCCCCTGACCACTGTGAGGACAGACAGCCGACATGCTGGTCCTGGACCTGTGGAGAAACCTCGGGCGAACTTGTTTGACCTTATGCTAACACATACTTAAACTGACCTAGTATGGCTTTAAGATAGTTAAAGTCAGAGAGGACACTGCATTGTCCTAATGGTCTAATTTCCATTCTTGTTTTAATTAGAAAGAATTCAGACACCTGCTTGTTTTTCTATCCTGGTACTACAGCACATATTGCTACCGTGGGCGGTGCTCCTGTAGAACTGGTTGTGCAGTAAACATTACACTAAATCAGTTTCATATGATGATGATATACTTTTGCACAGAAACTGTAGCTGATTGATCTCTTAGACAAGTATTTATGTTTTACTTACACATATAATATAATAATAATATAAAAAGTAAGGTTCTTCACTTTTAGCTTCAGATGTATTAGCTCACGATTTTCTTCCGCTAGACCAAGGTTTTCAGTCCCATGAGTTGCTCTTTAACTGTCTTGATATAATAAATGATTAACTATTTCCCTGGTTTTGTTATTTTTCTCTGAGCCCTATAAAATAAAAAGCCAGCCTCACCTTGCCTCCTTACCCCTAGTAGATTTGGGTCTAGAACCACCACTGATTGCTACACTTGGGCCTTTGATAATTTGCTGATACAGTCTGTTAACTAGTTTTACCAATGCCAAACCACACACTGTGCCACCAGCCAGCAGCTAAAGAGATTTCTGTCATTATTTTGGCTCCTTTCTTAACATCTTCAAATATTCGGCCCTTTCATCAGCACTAATGTGTGACCTTCATGTTCACAGCTTATCTAAGTATGATTGACAGACCTTGTGAGTGTTTTTTTGATTACCGCTTTTGATGATTCCTAAAAATAGAGCGCTCTGCTCACCTCCACCCCCCTAACACATCTTTTGTCGTCACTTCTTCTGAACTGGGACTCTATTTTTAGATGCACAGAGTTCATTAATTGAAAGCCCTTGTTTTGTAGAGATTGTGCAGAGTTATGTAAGGGGATTACCCTGTTTTTATCACTTATACCTCTCGCCATGCAGACCAACACACAGAATAGAAGTGTGCAGATAGGCAGAAAACTGGAACAGAGGTGGAATGTGAGGGTGCAGTTGCGGTAGTAGTAGTAATACACTGTTCCAGAAATAACCCAGCTGCAGGCCTAATTGCACTCCTGCTCTATTTTCTTCTTTCAGCTGCGTGCCAAGGTCTTCGACCTTATCATCCACCTCACTGGTTCCGGAAGAATCTTTTCCGCACCCTGTGGCTACCAAAGCTCTGGCCGATATACAGAGCACAGCAGCAGACCATCATTGGCCTCAGACTAACAGCCAAGCGACACAACCATTTAGAAGTGATCCCAACACAGTACCAAGTGCCTCAAACTGCCAGGTATGTTCTAATCACCCCCAGCATGGGCCTCGTGCCTCCCTAACAAAGCTTAGCCCAAGGACCCCAGGCCTCTTATAGGTGCCCTGGGCCTCCCAGAAACCTACATGTCCTGAATAAATATACACATTCACAAGAGATGCTGTGCATGCATTTGGAATCTCTTCACACGCAAGCTTCCTGTGAAATGTATGGAGAGTAAACATCTGTGGCAGGGATTGCTTATATTTATTTTCTTTACAATAAACATTAGTAAGGGTCTCACATGGGGCATCTGTGAGGAATGCACTTATTGTGTCCCCTTCAGCATTCCTTCATAGTAAGACAGTTCTGTGTTCATGGGGGGTCCACAAGGGCCTGTCTTCTGAGCACTAATACACTGTTGCTCAAAAGCATAGATTACTTTACATAAACGCTATCACTCACAAGTTTGGGATGACCTAGAAATGTGATGTTCCTTTCCTTGCAAACATATTGAATTATGTTTAATAAGAACATATTGCAAATGAACCAGGCATTCTGTTATTGTGAGAATTAGAAATTAAGATCTTAATAGAAATGATTAAGTAATCTTTGCATTTAGGGTTTATTTGGAGGCATAATCCTCATGAAGAATGAAATAGGCCCAAATCAAATGCTATGCACAGGGTGGGATATATTGGTGCACAAATCCATAGACAATCCTCCTTTTTTGAAGTACCTTCCAACTCTACAAATGCCATTTTAGCCCTTGCAAAGTACTCCTGAACCGTCACTCTGTTGAGGACTACTTGACACAGTTATTGTTAGGCTGACTTTTTGGACTGATGGTACTGAGAACTGTTCCTCCATCTTCAGTTCAGCATATCATAAATATTCTTCCATTTAATCCAAATACCTCAAACTTTGACTGTCATTAGAATTTCCTATCATTCCATTACACATGTGCCTTTTGTCCCTCTCCCCCTCTTATAGCATGTCCTGCCATGAAGGCCAACAACATGAAATTTGCTCCTTATTGTTAGTCAAAAACACTGGTGTATTTTTGCAGATGCTACCTCAGGATCCGTGAGGCATCTTTATTTGAAGTCACTCTCTAAAAAAGAGTGCGTTTTGAAGGCTGTGCATTGAGGCCTCTACTTTTTCCTGTCTTGTTAGATTGGGCCACTTTGTGAAGGGAACAGCATAATTGGAGCTCTTAAGAATGCTCATGCACAACAACAGACTGATAACTGTCCAAAGAAATCTATTTCCTTCTGCTAGTTCTTCAGATGTTAAACTAACCTTAATACAAAAGCAATTTGCTCCATTATCAGTGCAAGGGTTTTCAGCTGTTTAGATTTTCTAATAATAGACCAGCTACACACACGTGGTAGCCTTTGTTGAAAGAAAAAACAATGATGGTTATAGGAATAACTTTGATTTGAAAAAAGTAATAACCAATAAAGAAATAGGAAAATGAACAAATGACAGTCAGAGATCATTTTTCAGCCATGCTTCAATAGAATAGAAAAAATACACTTAAAATAGCCTTGGACAAAAAGGATGGTATCGTTTGCTTAATATCACTGCATTCAAACCATTCCTGTAGAGATGTTTGGACATCTCCGCAGCTATTTTGGTCTTTCCAGATCGTATGTTTCAGCTCCTTTTGAAGATGAAAAGATTTAGGCCAGGGTTCATAGCTCACTTCAGAATAGCCCGATATTTTCCTCTTGGCCATTCCTGAGTTTTTTTTTATCTGTGTTTTGGGTCATTATGCTGTTACAAGCCCCATGACCTGAGACTAAGACTAAGCTTTCTGGCACTAGGCAGCACATTTCTCTCTAGAATACGTTAAAAGTCTTGAGATTTTATTGTATCCCGTGTCAGATCAAGCAAAGAAACCCCTGAACATAACAAAGCCTCCTCCATGTATCACAGTAAGGACAAAGTTCTCTTCTTTTTATTCTTTTTTTTTTTTGTGAATATAGAGCTGATTTGCCTTAGTAAAAAGTTGAATTTATGTCTCATCAGTCCATAAGAAATTCTCCCTGAAGCTTTGTGGCCTGTCAACATGTTTTGCAAATCCAAGTATAATTTTTTCTTATGATTTATTTTCAACAGTGGTGTCCTCCTTGGTTGTCTCCCATTAAGTTCACTTCGGCTCAGACAGTGATGGATGCTGTGATCAGACTCTGATGTTCCTTGAGCTTAAAGTCCACCTTTACTCTGTCCTGAGGTTTTCTGGGCTCTTTTGTTACCATTGGTATTATCCATGTCTTTGATTTGTCATCGATTTTCCTCCTATAACCACTGCAGGGAGGTTAACAGCAGTCACATGAATCTTAAATTTCTGAATATGTGCAACTCCGTCACAAGAACAAAACTTAGCTTGGTGATGGTCTCATAGCCTTTACCTTTAAATTGCTTGTCGATCATTTTCATTCTAATGTCCTGTGACATTAGCTATTTATTTTGCTTTCTCTGGTCCATGTTGAATTATGTACACACCATGTGACCAAACAACGCAGTAACTACCTGTAGCCTTCATAGGTCCACTGACTGTCTACAAGATTTTAGACACCTGTGATGCCAATTAATGTAAACCTCTTTATTTAAAGGTATTTTGGAGGATTTTCACAATTTTTTTAAATGATCCACCCTATGCACTTAAAAAAAATTCCCATGCTCAACTCTGTACCCGCTTAAGAGAGGAAATGCCTATTAAACGCGTGCAAGAGCCCATTTCTCCTCATTAATGCTCTGTTTAAAAGTTGTTCTCATAGCGCATACAAGCTTACTGTGCCCTTACCTCCTCCTTAACCATTAAATGCCTAAATCACTATATAGAGAGGGAATATTTTGTTGACTTTATAGCAATTTCAGTTAACTGACTATTCGGACAGATGATCACTGCTTTTTGCTCTCCGTTGGTCACGTAACTCCCCTTCCACTACGCGGTGCCTGCTCCATCTTTGTTATTTGTCGCCGCTGTCGGGTAGCTACACCCTATGGCGACAGCTGCCCGCTGTGACAGTAAATCCCATAATGCTTTGTGAAGAGAGATCTCCGCACAAAGCATTCCGGGGTATATCTGCGTCGTCTTATGTGCTCATACACTTTGTAGATGCTTTTTTTCTTACGACCCTCTGCCATTTTCAAAGAACCTTGGTAAGAAAGGTGAGCTTCAATGAATGTCTGAAACCGTAGCTCACCACACATACGCCTGAAAGTGTACATGCACAGAAAAAGATAACAAAGGGACGAGCACGTAGGATGGCCTGACATAAACATATCAGCAGAATGACAATTAGGAGGATTTCTTTTAACTGACAGGGTAGCAATGATTTGTTTTTTTCCCATGTGTTTAAAGACATTACTTTAAATAACTACTGTTCTTCGATCAATAACAGAGACAGCCCATAAGTGTAGGTCTCTACAAAAATAATTTTATTTGTGAAATGGGGAAATGAAGGTCATTCAAACTGCATTGAAAGGTTGATTTATTGAATGTTACTATATCTTCAAAACATGAGCAATAGTTTGGCCTTACAGTAAGTCCCCTCTTCTTGCGGCAGTCACAAATGAGGGTGTGTTATGTTGACTGGTGTTTTCATTTGGAAGAAAGAGGTTATGAGATGACAGAGAGTTGGAAAGCTGCGTCAGTAAGGGCAACCGCAGACTAGTGAGAGAATTAAGGAGAAATCTGATATAATCCTGACGTATCCTCACTCAGACTCTTCATAGTAATCCAGCTAACTCCAGCTCAGAAAAACACTTCTGTAAATCATGAATCTTGATACCAACTTCTACGCAAATCTTTATTGTTTATGTAAAACTTTCCAAGACTTGATAGATTAGAAATTGTGACGATACTGAATTTTGTTGAATATAAAACCAACATGATGGAATTTATTTAACCAGGAAAGTCAATATTAGTTTTAATCAATACAATTAGATAATTATTTGCATGTTACTTTTGAGGCTGCCCAATAAAAGATGTCAGAAAGCTGAACACAGATCAGTTTCCTTCTATAAGGAGAGCTCCTACCTCTGGAGCTTCTCCAAATTGTATGGATCATCTGACAACACTCCTTGCCTTTAGTAATAATTATATTGATAATAATTGAATTTTATTAATCTCACACTGTTAGAATTCACCTCTGCATTTGACATTGAGAGTGTGGGGAACTTGCAAACTTCTCAGAGCACAAGTGCACTGCCCTAAACACTAGACCAACTCTCCCCTGAGGGGATGAAGCATGAAAAAAAACTTTATTACACTTAACTACTCAACCAGTCATTCTTTATCATAACCATTTTTGCAGGTTTAATTAAGCTGTTTTAGTATGTCATTTGCTCCAATATTATATTATTTTGGAACAAATATACCAGAAATAATAATTGACAACAAACTGGACAGCAGACGTAAATGTTAAGGGAAAGACCAGGTTGTTCTTCTTAAGGAAGCTTGAACACCTTCTTCAGTGTCTTATATTTCTGTTGTGGAGATCTGTGTGCATCTGATATCTTTTGCCATCATCTGCCAGAGTAACGGTATCAGAGCAAATGACTTTAAAAAGTTCAACAAGCTAATAAAGAAGGCTTTGGAGATTGTCTAACAAATTAGAATTCTTCATGAAATAAAAAGCATCATGTACAACAGTAATAGTAAAAGCATTTTCCAGATCTGGGCATGACAATCCAATGCAGAAAATCATTTCTAGATCCTAAAATCTGAGAGTTGTGGCATAGGAGGGTTTTAATTATGGGGGCTTTCCAAAGGAATAAAAAATTTCTTTTATTGAACAAAAATGGTGTCACTGTCCTGGTAGATACTATTACTCTAAAATTTCACATCACTCAACCCAAGCACAACTCTTTCTGACAGTGTTCTCTTGAAATCACACCTGGGAAACACTAATCCAATCTGGGCCTTTTAAATTATCAAAGGTTCTGGGTCAAACCCCCAGTGCTATGTCCTTGGACACCTACCAGACCCTGGATTCTTGACTTTCACTTAAGTTGCTTCCAGCTGTACGTGAGCGCAATGAGTCACCCAAGAAGCACACAAATAAAGAGTGAGGTGTTGTACAGCTATGCTGACTCACAGTAAAGATACTTGGGTCTAACACACGCTGCTGGAAAAATATACGAGCCACTTGGGTTTGAAAAACCCTACAAAAGCCTCTCTCTGGTAGGCCCAGAACCCCCCCCTCCCCTCCTGTGATGAAAGCAAAGAACACCTCTACTACTTGCCCGTTTTGTTTATTTACCTTCAGAATTACACCCTGCTCCTCTTGGACCATGTTCCGATGTGTTTTGTTATGTTTCCTTTCAAACAGAATGTCTATGCGTGTGGTCTTCGGCCATGTTTGGTTAACACATGCACACACACACACACACACAAACATTCAACTTTCCTCCCTGTGCCAGAGGTCCCCTTTGCCCTTCCCCCTACCTCTAACCAAACATCGCAGGACAGCAAAAGGGAACTTCAAAGTGGCCGGAGGGGGTACTCCTTTTTTCCTGGCACTTGTCATCATCTAAGGGACTGGCTGCTCCCCTTATTACTGTAATTGCTTCCAACTGCTCCTGGAGGCTTTGATGAAGGGCGCCACAGAGCATGCTGGAAGCACCTGTTGTTCCATAGATGAGCACAGGTGGCCCTTATATGGTGGTTGTGTTTGGACAGCACTCTTGTGTTTTTTTTTTTATATTTATTTTTTTAAATCACAAAATAAATGAAATAAAAACATGACACGCAATATTAATATGAATTAAGTTTTGGGGGCAAATTCTATTTATACTCAGTAAAATGAAATCTCAAAAAGCTTTTAGGAACATGTTAGCAGCCCTCTGGCTCCATCTTGTGGCTCTCCTAGAAATCCAGAAGCTGAAATGGAAAAAGAAATCAGACAACTGAATGAATAAAATCTCCTTTTATTCTAAAACTACAGTTTTAAACTGAACTTTTGGATTGAAGATGGATTGGTGACATGCTAATGTAATTTAGTCCACATCAGTTTATCATAATATGTCCAGTTCATTTAATTGGAATCTTAATCAATTTGGCCTAATTTCACCATTTTTGGTTGTTTTTACACATTTTGAAATATGACTCGCTAGGATAAAACCAGTTCTCATTCATAGGTTAAATAAGCTTTTAGTAAAAGCAACAATGGCTTTATTTATTAACACTTTATTCTACAAGAATAGGAAACCTGCTGAGCAACATACCAGCTGTGGCAGGATCTTTTCAAAATGCTCAAGCTCCACTTGGTTGCAGTCCTCAGATTCGGCCTGTTTAAGCGATCTCAAAGCAGCCTCTTGGGATACAGAAAAAATATACATATACTTTTATTGCTGCGAAGCTTAATATAAGCACAGCAGCTCATCATGTAATGAAGACTAGAAAAATCATTACCTTGCACAAATATTCTCAGCATATCCATCATGAGCAGTGTAGCATCACTACTTACTGTAACACAAAGTAAGATTTATTCAGTTCAGTCATGCAACTGGAACTCTAAAACAAAGAAAGAATATCAACTTACATTTGGTTTTGTCCTCTTTAAAGAAACTGCACAGGAGTTTGGTCACTGTTTGCTGTGGGAAGTAAAACAGCACAAGACCGCATGAAGGAGACCAACATTGCATCTACCTAATCAGATTACCAGTTAAAACATATTTATTACAGTTTTTTATTCAGTTTACCCAAACCCTGACGGAATAATATAGGTCAGGTTGATGTTTCTTGTTTTTAGAAGTTTATGGCAGGAAGTTCATTTACGACACATTGAAACCAGTGTTTCAGAAAATCTAAAATAGGACGGTTACCTTATACATTATGGCTGATAGGTCAAAATCAATTAATTTGACTAATTTTCATCTAACCTTTAATTTATCAGTTAAGACAATATATAACACAGATGACCTAAAATACAAAAAAGAAATGCATACCCTACATATAGGCTGAGCTACTACAGCTGATGGCATGAAAAATAATTGCATTTAAGCATATGAAGGGAAAGTTAAGCAGAAGTTAATAATAAGCATAAATAAGAAACCTCACCGAAGGATTTGCTTCCTACAAAAAAAGTGTGACCTTTCACAGAAGATGGTGAACTTTCACACTGCCATCATTATTCGATTCAAACTAATTAAATACCTAAGGACTCTTTAGCTAAAGTGGAAGTGCATCAGAGTTCACCATGATAAGTGCAGTCTGAATAATGCTGGTAGTAAGGAAGGAGGTAGGAAAGGGAGCATGTATGCTTCCTGTCATAGTTCCTTTGGCATAGAAATCTCACAACAATCCTATCTGGCACAATGGGGAATCCTGCAGTCTTTTGCAAGACATAGCATATTATTCATACATAATACATTCAATTTAACAGAAATACATTACTGTTTTACATGTATTGAGCATTGCAAATGAAAATGCAGCACCTTAATATATTTTGGTTCGTATTAAAAGGAGAGCTTCAGACATAAGGTTTGTGTCACTTGCACACTTCACACATCAGTTCTTTATACTTGAATTGACACCTGAGAATCGTATGGTAATGAGCATGATGATTACTGTGGTTCTATTGATTGTTAAAACTGAGCTAATGATCACTTATTTAATAAACTGTAGTACTAGACAATATAAATGGCCGTGTAATGTTTAAATAATGATAATATAAAATACTAAGAATCAATACGAGCGAACAAATTCTGTTATAAGGCAGGTTTTTTTGCTAAATTCTTAGATTTCTAGCATCTTCTGTCTATATATTTTTGAGGAATCAGTATTAAGGGATCATTTCATAACGAGCGGGGGCTTTGAAAGCAACAGAATAATAAAAAATACCACATTCACTTGACAGTGAGTGGACTCACTGTTTGCATCCTTTATTTTCTCTAATAAAGGGAGCCAATCTTACTTTAAAAACAACATCCATGTGTGTCTTTGTCATACAATGACATTCTAAAGACTTTCCTGTTTTCTGGACATTTCAGGGATCATTTTACAAAAAATGAAGAGTGTCTTGATGTCATAGAGAATGCAGATAATTTTTGCTGATTTTATTGGAGCTCGTATGGAGCAGTTGCTTGACAGCATTTAGTGCTGACACTTAAATATTTAGTATAAATATATATTTTTTGCATGCTTCAATCAGACTACATTTTGGTGATAGTTCTACTTCTAGATTGCAGATACTATAATTATTAATTGACTACTTTAAATTAATTTTATTTTCATCACTGATGGTATGGGAATACATACAATTAGAATGATTTAAATAACATTTTTATCTATAATGAAAAATTTTAAGCTTTGTGTGTGACAAATTGCTTTCTTGATCCTCCCTTTGCAGAAAACTGTATCATAAATGCAACATACTGCAACCATCTAAATGCGAAAATAAGTTGAGCAACTTTTTTCTAAGTCAGAAGTGACTTATAATTTATTGGTTTTGAATAAGTGAGTGAATCATAAGCAAACATTAAGACACGCGCTCGCTTGTCTCTATTAAACCAAACTAGCCTTGAAAAGTGCATTCTTTTAAATATCACCGAAGTTTCCAATTTGTATCAAAAACAGAATTGCATAGAAAATACTTTTTTTAAGTGTTTAGGAAATGCTCGTCAATTCGGCGTTACAAAATACAAAGCTCAATGTCAGCATAATTGCTTTTTGTTTGGTTTAAGTTAAACAGGGAACGCTTTACAGGGTTGGGTTTGGAAGAGGAAGAGCTCGAAACGAAAGCAAAATCCAGAGGTATGAGGCAAGACTTGTTTATGTTCACATTCAACAGAAAACTATTCAATATAAAATGGAATTTATGAAGAATCCTCCCGCTCATACCTTTTTAAAGCTGACTTCTTCCTCTTTATCCGCCATGTTTTTACGTAGCGACTCCTGCGCCACGAATTTGATTGGCTGGTTATGTGTGACGTTACTCGTTACGTCCCAAAATATGGTTATAGTTGTATTTTATCTTAAATAACTATTTTTTTTTTTTTTTTTTTTTTTTTTTTTTTTTTTTTTTTTTTACATCTTACGCCTAAACTAGCAAAGTCTGCTCTAAAAGTGATTTTACTTTTAAATTGCAGTATTGGTCGTTTTTATTAATTTGTTATCAATCGTAATGCAAAAAGATAGAATGATACAACTATTATTTTAATTTGGCCTTCTTCTAGTGCTAAATGTAAACTTTATGGAATTTAAAGCTGCAGGTGTGTCACTTTTTTCCACAAACTGAAAACAATTTAAAACAATTTTTATGGACTACACACCGTTTCACTATCTATCTATCTATCTATCTATCTATCTATCTATCTATCTATCTATCTATCTATCTATCTATCTATCTATCTATCTATCTATCTATCTATCTATCTATCTATCTATCTATCTATCTATCTATCTATCTATCTATCTATCTATCTATCTATCTATCTATCTATCTATCTATCTATCTATCTATCTATCTATCTATCTATCTATCTATCTATCTATCTGAAGTAACGTATTTTAATTATACTGCAATGTCTTTTGTGACACATGTCAGAAATGGACCGTATAGCCTATTCAAAAGTCATAATGATGTTGCTTTTGATCCTTAAGACTCTAAAAATTGCTAGATTTAAATAATGGAGTAACTGATGGAATTAAAAACATTTTCTGGAGTGCATGTCGCTGAACCCACCTAGAAGTGACTGCTCAACCTCAGTATTTTTGAGTCCCAGAGTAAGGCCCTGACTCTAGTTGTTGATTATTATGGGATTCCTTGGTTGATGATGATAATGCCCCTGATTGTGAGCAAGGCTCAATGATGGACAAACTTTTTTTTTTTTATCTTCCTTACAAAATAAATCTTGTATTCATCCTTCTTGGTATTTATCCTGTGATTATTATTTTGTTTTCTTTGTTTTTAGCTCAGCTTGAGGAAATGGACATTCATCTGTGGTTCCTGCTAAAGAAGAAAAAAAGTCCCTTATACACCTGCATTACGTTTCTAAGGAAAATGACCCACATTTCAGCCAGAGATGAGGTAAGCCGTATTACTTCCTTGTACATCAGCTGATTTCTAAATGTTTGAAGTACTGCATCATGAAAATGTTTCCTTTTCTCTCTAGGGGGAATTGGCATTTCCTTGTGGTTTGATAAGCCGACTGTTAAACAGTGTTATCAGTCCTAAGTTGCTTTGACTCTGAAAGCATTACTCATACACAGCGGTGCATATGTTATCTATCTATCAGTGTGTGTGTTTATGTAATAACATATACTGTTAAGGACTAGTTGTAACAGAAACAAGAACTTGCCAAAGGTTTCCGTTCACTGAATGTGTAATAACCAGCACTTGAACAATGCATATGCTATCTTCTGTCAAATTGTTTTTCAATGGCTCCCCATTTATGCAAGAAAGAAGGGAGATTTGATTTCCAAGTTCCATAAACATTAATAACTTTAAGAAAAACCTACTAACTTGAGCACTTCTCAGAAAGTAAAACATGCAGTTGTTTTAGGAGGCAAGGCTTCTTAAAAACTAATTTCTGTTCTCTTTAGAAGTCACTAAACACTACAGGGAGTGAACAACACTCTGGAGTACTTTTTTGATATCTCAAATGCATCTGGAGATCTGGGAGGCTTCTTGCTGTTTGCTGACATTCAAATAATGGAGGTCTATGGTGCCCGAGGCAGAAAGGTCCATAAAAGTCCACAAAAAACGTGTCAATATTCCTCCATACTGCTAGTCCAATGTATTTCAAGTGTCCTGAGTGGGTAGCGTCCATAATTTACTCGAAACGAAGTCATTTAGAATGTTTTTAGAGCATAAACAGTAGTGTATAGGATTTCCTAAAACGAGTCTACGGAAACCGCGGCAGAACAAACCAGACAAAAGTGCGCATTCAGCGTCTGCTCTGCCGATAATGCAAGTGTAGAAGAAGAAATGTGCTGTTTACCTGTGCAAAGAAAGAAACAACGAAAGAAAAATGTCTGAGGACTTCAGTGTTGAGGAAGAGCATGAGTTCTTTGCCGAGCTGAATGCGCACTTTCGTCTGGTTTGGTCTGCCACGGTTTCCGTAGACTCGTGAACGTGCTTTTAGGAAATCCTATACACTACTGTTTATGCTCTAAAAACATTCTAAATGACTTCGTTTCGAGTAAATTATGGACGCTACCCACTCAGGACACTTGGAATACATTGGACGAGCAGTATGGAGGAATATTGACACGTTTTTTGTGGACTTTTATGGACCTTTCTGCCTCGGGCACCATAGACCTCCATTATTTGAATGTCAGCAAACAGCAAGAAGCCTCCCAGATCTCCAGATGCATTTGAGATATCAAAAAAGTACTCCAGAGTGTTGTTCAGCATGGGGGTGAGTAGAAAATGAAGGCTAATCATGTTTTGGGTGTACTATTCCTTTAAGTTATCACTTAAATAGAACCCATCTCAAAGATGGTCAATATGCCAGGGTGGTGAGGATGTGATGACAGAAACATGGGAGCATTATGTAAAATACTTATAACAAGGTAGACAGACATTATACTAATAAGCATGGATTATTTTGAGGTTTTCTTCAAAAAGCAAAGTTTTGTTATTCCTTTAAAAGCAACCATAACCAACCATTTAAAATGACAAGGTGTCACTCTCATTGTTTATGGGTTTTCACTGAAAACATATTGTTATATCAGAGTCACAGGTAGCTTCAACAATATGAAATGTGTAGTAAATTTTTGTTAGTTGTGTCAGTATTCAATAAAATTGGTTAAAAAAAGATGAATTATGATTATGTACTAAATAATATAATAACAAATGTACCCATTGATGTTATGGAAAGACCCTCTTAATACAAGAACAACATTTTTATTAAATTTCACATTTTGATACAACATTCTAACATTCATAGAATAGATATATTTCAGTGTTAAAATGTCATTATTTTCTGATGGAGAACTTAATAATTTTGGTAACATCTGCATGAAAACTTGTGTGAATTTGAGATAGGTGTTAAAACATATAACCCAATTCATATTCACATGATGTGTCATGATTTTTTTCATACCCTAGTTGAGTTCCATTGCCTTTCCTTTCAATTTACAGAAAGATCTTAAAATTGCAAATGTGTCAAGCTAATCATTTTTACAAACTTCAGATCTTGTGAGACAAACATTTTTTAAATGCTCAATCACTCCTTAGAAAGGCCCCTGATAAACAGGTTTTTTTTGCAGAGGGGAAATTTGTGTCATGGCCAACCCCATTGCTCCGCCCCTGACAGCTTAAATAAGGCCTGCAGTGCCGCGTATTCTACATTGATCTCTCACATCTCCACCTGGACAATAACCTACGGTAGGGGAAACCTTTTCTTTATTTCATATTTGTTTGCCAGTTATGTATGTTGGTTTTAGCCTATCTTTATTTTTGCAGCAAATCATAAAACGTGTCCACGTTATTTTTTTTTTCAGAAAACATGGAGACTGCACCTCGATCAAGAGTTTTCATAAGTCTTTCAAAGAACCATATGGCTGGCTTGTCCCACTACTATGATATGGTAATGTTCTTCTAATGCTAAATGGAGCTATTTAAAGCTAAAATTGTAATCATCGAGCTTAATGTTTGTATCTATTTAAACAGGACCATGGCTTTTGCATCACAGAGCTGAATTCCAATATCAGTGGAGGAGATCTGCATGCCTATTTTAATCAATGGGGCAATATCACCATGTGCGATGTAGGTTCAAATACACATTTTACAAATGCATTTATAGCTTTAAGTTTGTCCTTTATTACACACAACTTTATATCTATAATCCAATTAAGATTCACACTTGTGTTCTTTGTTGTAATCCAAGATCAAGGCCTGTCCCAGCTCTCCGGAGAATAAATTGGCCTTTGTGATGCTTTCTACCAAAGAAGAAGCTGACAGAGCAGACTGGGCTGGTCCTCACCGTATCAAGGGGACAGAATGTAAAGTTAGACGGATTGTTAATTTAAAGGTGAGTGGAATCTACTTCTCATAAAGGAGCAAAAGCAATCATGATCACCACGTTATCTGAAATAGAAATGTGTCTTTTAGATGAAGGAGAAGTCAAATGATGAGGCCATCCCATCCCTGAGCAGCACACTGGAAGATACTCAGTGGTTCAACAAAGACGCTGATGACCAAAGGAAGGGGGGCTGAAATGAAAGAGGCTTTTTGAGGAGACTTAAGAAAAAGGCTTTGGGGAAGAATAATGTCCTCTACTCAGGAACATCTTACCTCTAAACTTTTCCCAATATTGTATTAGGTCTGTAATGTGTTGTGGAGACTTAACACATCCTTTATGGTCTAAAAAGGTTCTCACATTCAAATCCACTCTCAAGGAAGCATGTTTGAAGGGGTTTACAAAAATGTGAATTGTGCATCATTATGCATTCTCAGGTTAATGCCTCATATTTATTATTTTTGATTAGTGTTTTCTACATGGAGTTCTAGTAGTCTGTGTTGTGCCGTAGATCGATAATAGATTGAGCAAGTATTTGGTTAAACAGGGCTTCTTTTCTTTTTGTCGAAAATAACTTTGGGTTTATTGTTTATATTTGGACTGCTTTAGATAAGATTTTGAACATTTTTCTGACAGTGTTGCTAAGAATATTTGACCAAAAATAGTCATAATTTTTTGCCAGAAAAGTATAAAGTTAGACATTTTGACAAAACTTTTTTTTTTCTTCAAAGCATGCCTATAGTGACTTATTTTTTTGTAACAGAGAATTCGTCAAACAACTTTAATTAGTGATGGTTATTGATTGATCAAGGTTGTATTCAAATTTTTATGGAAATTGTAAAAGAAAAAGTTAATCTAAAATACACTGTTAGGAGACAAGGAGAAAAACAAGGGAAACCGTATAGCCATAAAACTAAAATAATGGATTTCCCCATCCTAGAGGA